CAAGGGGGGGCAAATGCCCCCCCAAATTATTTTTTGCCCCCCCCCCATTTTGCCCCCCTCAAAAAAAATTATTAGTCACTAAGAGCGACTAAAGGCTACACAAGTGTTCTGTCGTTATCGGAAAATGTATGGCTTATAAGTTGTCATTACTCATTTGTGAATGCGCGTATACATGAAACTGTTTTTTACAATTTCAATATTAGTTTGTAAATCTCTGAATGGTAAAACTTGCCAATACTCCAATAATACGTTTCAAAAAAAGACAAAAAAGCTTTAGTTTTGCAGAGTTAAATTCTCAAACGTGTAAGGCAATAATAAGATGAAAGTATCACGAAATTATTTGAATAAACCACATCGCATATATGGGGGGCGATATTCCTAGGGTATTCGCCCACCCCCCTGGGAGACGATATTCCTAGGATATTCGCCCCCGGGGGCGATAGTCCTAGGAATATCGCCACGTTTTGAGAGGGGGGGGGGGGCGAATTTCCTGGGGGGCGACCTTTTTAAAAATTCGATCTTGCCCCCCCAAAATTTGAGTTTGCCCCTCAAATGCCCCCCCAAATTTGGAAGCCTGGCGCCGCCACTGGTCTCCAATTTGAACGTTCATACCCTCAAGGCGATGATGCTCTGACAATCCATTGGCCACAGAAGCAATTACATTCACTGCCCGTTCTACAGTAAGTTGATCTCCAGAAAATATCTGGCTATCCACCTTGTCACCAGCTCTCCGAGGGAGATAAGAATGGAACTGCTTCAGTATTGAATGCATGTCCTGATTGACATTCTCATCCTTGAATATTATGCCCAATGGTGCCTGCAAAGTAATTATATAATGATAAAACACATGCATATCACAATTTTTATAAGGCAATTACAGATCTTCAAATTTTGTCCATGGGGGTGCCAAAAATTCACACTACAGTAATTTAATCCAATATAGTCAAATTTCTGGGCGGTGAAATGTTTTCCGGGGGGGGGGGAGGGATGCACAGCCCATGCACCCCCTAGAAAATCCATCTATGGTAGGACGTAAGACTGTTGCCATCCAATTCACATTTTCAGATTACCAGATTACAGTTCTCCAAATAAATTAATTTTTTTATAATCATGAACAACCTTTTTATTTTTCTGTGACATTTCCTCTGTATATTTGTGTGGAATGTGTTGGACACATGCTTCAGCTAAGGGTTCCAAAGCATCAAAATAAACTACCAGTATTCTAGAGGTAAGAATGATATAATTGCGCCTTTGTTTCTGCTGGTCACCAATTGATGGTAGAAACTTTATAACAGGTATATCTTTGACATGTGTCTTTGGTCCGACTGAATCTAGAAAAGCACCTATTTTAGAGACTTTATTTTAATAACAATGATTACACATGACAGTGCATGGACACTGACACGTATGTAGCCCTCACCTGAAACTCTATTCTCAATGTACTGATGATTTACCCAAGGAAAGTCCTTATTTTGGGACTTCATTGTCATATACTTTCGGCTTACATGAATGTCAATGTTATCAAATGATATGACAAAACCAGGATGAACAGATTTTTTCAGGTCTCTCTTCTTTTGCAATGCCATAGACAATTCATTTCTTTTACCAGGGGTCAAGGACAGTTGTTTACACGTTTCTGCAACCGTACATAGAACCTTGTTGTCATGGGTGATTTGATCTTTCGATTTGATAAGAACAGCGTCATGATTTTACCCAAGATGATCTAGCTTTGCCAATATGTTGCTGTTTGAGTTAGTCAACTTTAACTTATTTAATCTGCATATTGTGGACTGAAATATAAATTACAAATTATTGTTCAGAATAAAAAAAATGACACGAGTAATATTTCAAATATCCTGAATATAAACTATGGAGTAAATTAGGTGTGGTTTCTTAGAAATTTATTTTTTGTAGTGCTGCGATGTAGTTTAGAGGCGTTACACGCTTGTCTATTTCAACTTTCAAATATATTGAAATCTATTTTCAGTAAAGTCTAAAGAAATAAATTCAAAATGTGCTACAAATTCGAAAATTCAACCGCAGTGATTCAATGTACATGCAATATATAATGAATATTTGTCACATAATTCATAAACCCATCATAGACAAGGCCATAAACGTTTTGCCAAGTAATATCGATTTGCAGAGATCGATTTGAGATTCTTAGAGGGGGAAACCCCCTCAGAGAAAACCCTTCACTTAAATATTGCTATGCAGGTATAAAATGACTTATTTATTCTAAATCTAAGATCACCAAACATATTTTATGTATATTTATTGAGGTCATAGTGATACAATGTAGTTCAGGGTATTCGTGTCAGGTGAGTCAGGCAGGACGTGATTGGGAACTCTATGTAATCAATATACAATAATACATGGCTTACAGAATACAGTAAACTAACAGTTCCAATATATTGTTCAAGTTAAACGTTATATCAATTGAACATTAGATCAATAGATTACATTTCCTGAGCAAATCTGGAGAATATTAAACTTTCGGATTGCTCATAAATAAAGCTCAGCTGTGTTGCTACATAACTTGTAAACTTACTTCGACTGATGTGCTTTTCATGACAATTCCAAGAACTGCAGCTGTAGCATTCATTTTCTCATTCTTCTGTTTGAGTAGACACAGATCCCGCTATAGCAACACTGCCGAACCACAGACTCCCTTCGGTTCTCTTATTCGCAGAAACAGTCATGAGGAAGGAGTAAAATAAAGGCGCCTTTTCCCTCCACTTATTACATAGAAGCTCCAAATCGAACTTTTCCAAATCCGCTTTACTCGTTTTTCTCAACATTGAAGGGCTATTCTTAGAGCACAAACTTATGACTTCTTTGTTTAGAAGTGACAGCGTTTTTTTTTAGTACATATTCTTTAACAGTTGGGCAGTTCATCACAGCATTTGCGATTTGTGATGGATTACCATGTGCCAAGGTCTTTCCAATCGACTTTAAACTCTTGCAAAGTGTCTTGTTGAGGGTTCTGCTGGGGTATCGCACTGACAACTTAACAGTTGGCGAATCTGCAAGTTCCCGAGACAGGGCATTTTTTAAGAATTCGTCAGTGGGG